GGTGCCGGAGTGGAAAACACGGAGGACTGCGCTGTACCTCGGCAGTGAATGCCAGCCAAAGGCACAGTAGGTAGGGTGGGACCAGGAGCCGGATGAGGGGTGGTTTGTTGGTGTGAGGTGGGAAACCCTTTTGCAGTCTGGCAGAGAGGGCTGCCTAGTTACATGGTGGGAGGAAAAGCGTGGCAGGAGGGGAGGGAAGGACCCAGGTCCTGGCAGAGGAGCTTCCTTGGAAAGGACAGCACCCTCATCATCGAGAAGGGCCGGGAGGTGGGCGAAATTGGCATAGATGGAGGTAGATTTGTAAGGATGAAGGTTTTCAGAGCACAGGAAATTGGGGGAGTTTGTAGCTTTTCAAGGCCCCTTGCCTTTTACGTAGGAGGCAGTTCATTTGGTTGGGTAAGGATGAAAGTTCATGGCTTCCTACACAGATGCCCAGATTGTATTATGTAACCGTAGATGGTCAACCTGTTAATCATGAAGTAATGCGGACTTGTCTCTGAGCAGATGTGTGTGGCAGGGAGCCATAGTCCTGCTGCTGCAGAGTCTTAAAGGAGATTAAGGACCTTATAATCTGTATGCTATGCTTAAAAACAGCTAAGTTATGTAGCCGTTTTATGCTTCTGTTCGTCCTGTGTGTGTATACAGAGGTATGTATGTGTAAAACACATATATATATATATATAAATACATACACACATATATGCATATAGAGATATATACATCTTAGATTTTTTTCAGCCATAGACCACAGAAACATATATAGAGTCTAAAACTTGGGTTGATTTCTCATTGTAGTGAGGAATACTGCACATTGTAGGGTACTATAAAGTGTCTAAGAGGCCATCAGAACCTACCATAGAGGTTAAGCCTTGGTTGTGTAATTTTAAGGACCATCTAAGAAAGCAGAGTCAAATGGACAATTCTGTGATGGTGTGTGTAAATCTCATTTATAGGTGGACAGGCTAACTTGAGTAAAAGGCTAATTGGTAAAAGAAGTAGCAGTCACTCATTTAGTGAAAAGAGGTCTATTTTGTATTATGGGTTACATGGTGACCTTTTTTATAGGAGGGTGTCACTGTATCTTAGTCTGAGTGACTTTTGTTTTTTTTTTTTTTGGTTTTCTCCGGTACCGGGAACCGAACTCACGACCTTGCACTTGCCAGGCAGGTGCTTTTGCCGCTGAGCTAAATCCCCAGCCCCCTGAGTGACTTTTGTTTTGGTCTTTTTGAGACAGGGTCTCGCTATGCAGTTCAGGCTGACCTTGAGCTCACTTTGTAGCCCAAGCTGGTCTTGAACTCACAGCAGTCCTCCTGCCTCAACCTCCTGAGTGTTGGAATTACAGGCATACAAGTGACTTCATTCAATACAGGTATTCTGTGAGATTCTGCCCAGAAGGACAAATTGGCCTGACTAGGAGTATTCAGCCAGCTTGTAGGAATGTTGGTGTCTGGCTGTGAAAGGCAGATCACTTTCAGGCACTATTATTTTTCATATGCTTATACTACGTATGAAAAATTTGTATCCTACACACTCATATCTTAATTTGTCTGATTCTTTAAAATGAGCTATTTTTTTATTTTGGTGAGTATAGTTTTAACATGTGTTAGCTCAACTTAAAAAGAATTCTCTTGTATGCTCTGGTTTCTGTGTAGCTTAGCTATATGGACTGCAGGAATTCACATGTTATAAAAGCTTGGTGTTCTCTCTGTGGCATGATTAAGAGGACGTAGAACCTTTAAGAGACCAGGCCTAGTGGAAGGTGGGTAGGTCATTGTAAGTACCATCCTCAGAAGGGATTAACATAATTTTCTGTGGACTGAGGTCCTGGTCCTGAGAGAGCGTTCTTGTAAGAGAGCAAGACTCCATACCCTCTTACCATGTGATCCCTCTCACATGCACTGCCAGCATTGTAACGCCATCTTCCTGATCCCCACCGGAGCTGAGCAGAAGCTGACATTGTACCCTTGAGCCTCAGAATTATGAGCTAAGTAATAATTCTTCTGTCTATAAAACTACCCAGCTTTAGAGATTTTGTTGCAGTAACAGCAAAGGGACTAATATACCGTATTTTCAGTACCTCAAGACTCACGAGAACTTCATCTGTGTGAGTGGTGTAAGATGCACTCGCACCTGGAAAACTTGTTATGTTGCTGGCGAATGAGCAGAAAACAGAACATGCTTTTTTGATCCAGATCGAATGTGGGTCATGCTGGTGGGTAGAGAGAAGCATTTTTAGAACTATTTAGAAGATAGAGTGATAGAGCTTGGTGTCAGAATGTAGTATGTAGGAAAGCCAAAAGAGTGAAGGATGATACCTACCTGGTTTTCTTAATTTGTCTGCATAGGAGGCAGTACTCCTTCCCAGGTTGGGAAAAAGGGAAAAAGTTGTCAGGGAGGAAGAAATTGCAAGGAAAGAATCTATCCAATAGCATGAATCTGGATGGGGATGTCTGATTGCCTCTCATCAGTGTTGTGTGTGCCTAGTATCTGGCAGAATGTTCCTTTATCCCATCCACATTCATTCGTTAGTTCTTTTGTCTTAGTCTTTCCCTGTAGGCAGATGTGTGTCAGTGATAAAAGTACCAGCAGAAGATTGTTCGATCTGGGTAGGGATGTAAGGGAAACTGATGCAGGTGTCTTGATGGCTGTTGTCATCGAGGTTTGACATCTGTATACAGAAACACGGTACTGACCCACAAGCCAGGTCCTGAAGCTGGGTGCTGACATTTTGGTTGGCAAGACTGCCAGTGTGGGTTTTGTGCAACGTCAACCTGAGAGTTGGTGCTTCGTGCATACTCCGCTTGTGTTGGAGGAGTCTGGACTTCGCAGAAGAAAGGGTATTTGTGTCCGCCATGATACAGTGCACGCTCTGGTTTTTAGGTATTTGCCACTTTGGTTCAAAACGTCGCCAAGTTTTTTAAATCAAACTGGCCCATAAGTGTAGAAATATTATGAAGGGAAGACGAGAAAGGAAAGGAATTAAAATGTGTTTGTCACGGTTTGTAGGAAATGAGGTTTTCTGTTTTAGAATTTATTTTCATTATTACATGTTTGCGGCACATGATGCTTACATCCGTTGTGGTTCATGTACACAACACATCTTAATTCTTTTCTCATCCCCTTCCCCTCTGTCTCTTTCCCTTTGGCAAAAAGATCTATTTCCTGTTTCTTATCTTTTGTTTTGCTGGTTAGTTGTACTTTGTTTTTCTTATATAAAAGAAACCGTGCCACATTTAAGTTAGAAGAGGTTTTTTTTTTAACCTATTTTTTCTGACATCCTGAACTCATGTAAGGAAACAAAATGTAGCTAGGTTTAAAAATCAACGTTTCTGGTGGATATATGAACTGCAAGGTTGTCGAGGGAATCTGATCTATTAAATTTGCTCTTGTTTTTTTTTTTGCCATTTTTTCTCTTTCCCTCAGGGAAAGTATTTTCCCTGAGCTGACTGACTTCTCCCTAACTTTAAAGAAAATTTCTTTCTCTTGTTAAGATTTCTTTTATTCTTCCAGCTTATATTTTGCATCAGAACATACAACTTAAAAAAATACAGCTAAATTTTTATCATATGTGAAAATAGGAAGAGCTTTTTGATGTGACAGGTGCTTTCTCTGTAACATTTTTTCTTTTTTTTCTTGTTTTTTGTTTTTTTTCCAGTACCGGAAATTGAACTCACGATGTTATGCTTGCCAGGCAGGTGCTGTGCCACTGAGCTAAATCCCTACCCCCTCTGTAAAATTAAATCCAAACAATAATTGTTTATTTTTGTACATGAATGTATACATGTGCTGTGTAATTCTATTTTATTAAATTGACACCTATTTTCAAAATCATGTACCATTTTCTCAGATGATCATACTATTAAAAATTCTTTAAATGAGCTTAAAAAGATGCAAAAAAAAATGTAGGTGATGGTGGTAGGGCTAGATTTCAGATCTGTGGTATAGAAGCAGTGTTAAAGGCTATGGTTGGTTCCCTAGTTACCTTGGTTACTCCTATAAACAAAAGACATTGCTTTTCATTGTAGATCCTTCTTATGTGCCTAATTTGTTACTGAATTCTTGTGCCTTTGGGAATTTAAATTCTGCATGAATCAGGGCTTTAAGAACATTATGACAATAGTTAAATATAATATTTATATTCATAGGTTTTCCTTAAGAATTTCCTTTCATTATTCTTTGTAAACATTCATAACATATAAAACTCATTATATTAAGAATGAATATTAATAATGGATGTGCAAAAAAATGGAATTCTTTCTTAGTTATATCTTAGAGAAAATTTTAGCATGTAACCCTCTATTGCTAGAAAGTGAGGACTAAAAGAATTGGATGACTTTTGAGTTCCTTGAAAGAAAATTATGGTATCTTAACATATAATTTTGAAAATACCAGAGCTCAAAAATTAATAATCATTGAACTAACTGGCTAATAAAATAAATTTATATTCCTAAAAAAATGCCTGAAGTATGATTCTTTTAGCAGCCAAGACTTTGCCGTGCTTTATTAATTGAATAAGTGATCTTGTAACTGTATAATTTAGTCACTGTGGGAAGATGTAGTGACTACTGTTTGATTAGGACTGAAATCTATATTTTGAAGGAAGTAATTTTTAAAATTTCTTTGTATGACTATCGTATTTTTGATGCAATTTTTAGAAGGGTGAGATGTTTAAAAAATAGTTAATAGAATTTGGAACTAGGAAGTACTTTGGGATCAGCGGGTTCGGGTATTGCACCGTGTGGATAGTGATAGAGTGAGTCAAAAGTGTGGCGAAATGAATTATCCCAGATGACGCGTTTGGTCAAAACCGAGATCTCAGTGTGACTTCCTGGTTTAATGCTTTTCACCCTTTAATCGATGTTATTCACTGAAAAACAGTGTAGATCCCATTTAAAAGAAGAAGAGAAGGGAGTGCGGTGGGTTTGCAGCAGCTGCTGTCCAGACAGCGTGCATCCGTGGTGGGGATCACCGTGCTAATAAAGTCGATTTGTTCTTTTTAGGTGAGAGTTACGTGTGTGCATCCAACGAGCCATTTCGTAAAGTTGACTACACCAAAAATGTCAACCCGAACTGGTCTGTGAACATCAAGGGTGGAACCTCTCGGACCTTGGCCTCCACCGCCTCTGTGAAAAGTGAAGTCAAAGAAAGTAAAGACTTCATCAAACCCAAGTTAGTGACTGTGATTCGAAGTGGAGTGAAGCCTAGAAAAGCCGTGCGGATCCTTCTGAATAAAAAGACTGCTCATTCCTTTGAACAGGTCCTAACTGATATCACCGAAGCCATTAAGCTCGACTCGGGAGTGGTCAAGAGGCTGTGCACCCTAGACGGAAAACAGGTAAGAGCTTCCGGCCCTGGCTTTCAACTCCCTGGGCCATGATGGTTCTGGATCCAACGCAGACATTGGGTGGGGACGGGGAGGGGAGTTAATATTAATCATGAAAAGTGTAAGTGCACTACGTGTCTCCAAATGTCCCTCAGTATACCTGGAGTCATCGAAGGGAAAATGTGAGTTGCAGAGCAATCCTGTGTTAAGTGGGATTTATTTAAGTGTAAGACTTGAGTGTTGATTAGTGAAGATTTTATTGGCTTGCGTATCACAGAAGTCAAAGGTTTTTAACATAACTGTATTTAGAAAAGCCTTTTGTCACCAGTTATGAAAAATGCATTTCAGAGGAAAGTACTTATAGGAATAGCCATGTATGTTTTATACAGAGCAATAGGGGCAATTCGTCAGCGTTTCTGAACAATGAACACCAACTACCCAGAAAAATGCAAGTCAAATTATGGTAACAGTTTGCCAGGGAATCTCATGGACTGACAAATCTTGGGCACGTTGCAACAGCACATGAATAGCGGTTACGTAAATGTGGACTTCTGCTTAAAAACAAAAACAAAAAAGACTGATTAAAAGAAACAGTGTCTTCTAAAGTGTATTTTTCTCAGATTTACATAAAGTTAAATTGTTTGTATTTGCATTGCATAAAAAGATACAGTTTCCAATATTAGTTTCTTCACTCCATTTAGTTTTTCCCCCTAGCATAATGTGCTTTGAAGTGCTTGGCTCTTGTATTGCGAGAATGAATAATGTGAAACACTGAAGCAGTGTCTTCCAGAAAAACACAAAGTAGCTCCTAATTTCAAAGGCCAGATCAAATTGCTAGGGTATTTTATGCAACAATAAGAATGTTTAAAAAACAGGTTCTGGCTTGATGTGGTGGCGCATGCCTGTAATCCTAGTACGCAGGAGGCTGGAGCAGGAGAATCGCCACAAGTTCAAGGTCAGCCTGGGCTACATAGAGTTCAAGGCCAGCCTGAACTGCATAGTGAGAATCTGTCTCAAACACACGTCACACAGACACACAGGTTCTGGAAGCTGGTGTGTAGCTGAGTGGGAGAGTATGTGAATAGTCTATCTGAGGCCTTGGGTTGAGTCCCCAGAACCAAAGATAAATATATAAATAAGAGATAGGCTGTGAAGATTACGGTAGAAGGTGGCAAGATTAATTTGTTCACATTATGACTGGAACCATTCCTCAAAATAGGTTCTCAGTATTAATGATAAAAGACACCGTGTATAATGAAGCTAATAGCCTGGTATATCACAAAACACCGTAAGAGTCACTTTACATGTGAATAAAAGTAAATCGGGCTACAAACGAGATATGGGGAATGATTTTTATGTCTGCGTGCGTAATGGCTCATCGTGGTGAGTTGGTCCATGTACATAACACATCTTAATTCTTGTTACCTCCCCTTCCTCTGGAAAGTTTGTTGTTTCTTGGTGGGCACAGGAAAAAAAGGTTGTATAGACGCAAATGCTTAAGATACCTAACTGAAAGAGAGACCTAAATATGCCTAACTGGAACAGATAACGTATAAATAGTAATTGAAGATGAGATTTTTGATAGTGAGACCTCACATTTGGAAATGTCCAAATAAATGACATTCGGTGAAGATAGTAAGTGAAATAAAGAAGTTGAACATTTAATTAAAATAGTATCTATTGAAGTTTTCATAGTTACCTAACAAATTCTCTTCAAAAATACTTCAGACTGGAACTATAAACATGTTAACTAAGCACAAGCAGCTCAGGTCATCAACATATTCGGAGTAATGCAGTGTGATGAGCAGAATGCAAGCCAGAAATAACAGGATTGCTTGCTGTAAGAAGCTCCTAGCCGGGTGTGGTGGTGCACACCTGTAATCCAGCACTTGGAAGGCTGAGACAGGAGGATCACTGTGAGTTCAAGGCCAGCCTGAACTGCATAGCAAAACCCTGTCTCAAAAAGACGAAAAAAGAAAAAAAGACGATCCTGTATGCACAAAAGCTGCAGGATAAAGGATAAAATCACACATATGTAATCTCAGAAAGATGTTGCAAAGATACTGGACAAAATACAGAATCTATGTTCTGTTAAAGATGCATTATAAAGCTGAAAGAGATGGCCTTATAGTCTCAGCAAGGATGGAGGTCCAGGCAAGAGGGTGGCAAGTTAGAGTCCTGCTGGGGCAATTTATTGAGACCATGCCTCAAAATAAAAACAAAAGTGAGGGGCTGGGGATTTAGCTCAGCGCGAGGTCATGAGTTCGATTCCCGGTACTGGGGAAAAAAACAAAACAAAACCAAAAGGGATGGAGGTGTAGCTCAGTTTCAGGGAGCCCCTGGGTTCAATTCCTAGTGCTTCAAAAAAAAAAAGATTTAGTATTAAAAATGACAAATGATTTTTCTTAGTACACTAAAAAATTTTCCTGTTTGAAACAAAAGCCCAAAATATTAGTTAAGAAATACAGTCGTGGAAGGATTTCTCCGGTGATCAACTGCAAGATAACACCTGGGGCATCAGCATTCTTCCTTAATTCTTCCTGATTTTTATTTATAGTTCAATGTAGTTTGAGAAAAAATGTAAATGAGATTTGAGGGCGAGGAGTAGAGTTACCTGACCAAGTGAGTTTAGAAGTTAATCTGGAAAAATAGGAAATTTTGAAAATAGTGATTAATGGGCTCTCATGCTACCAGATATTAAATCATCCTCATACTACACCAAAAATAAATTCCAGGTGTTTGAAAAATATAGATGTTCAAGTGAAGTAGAAATACTAAGAAAAATGTCAATATTACCATGAAATGGGAAAGAATTTTGTCATCTTAAAAGTATAGGGAGGGGCTGGGGATTTAGCTCAGTGGCACAGCGCCTGCTTGGCAGGTGCAAGGTCGTCAGTTCAATTCCTGGTACCGGAAAGAAAAACCAAAAAAAAAAAAAAAGTATGGGGAAATCACAAAGGGTGAGGTTAATTGGTTGGACAATTTAAAAATTAAAAATTTCTGGATGTCAATTCAAGTATTTTTAGCTTGAGTTGTAGTAATTTAATGTGAAACCGATAAATGCCGTAATGAAGAACGTATAAAAGTTTAAACAGATAATTTGAAAAGAATTGTAAATTGTAAACATTAAAACATGCTCTGGGGCCCCCAGGGTTGTAGCTCACTCGTAGGGTGCTTAGCATGCGTGAGATCTTGGGTTTGACCCCTACCCCCACCAAAACAACACACAAAAACCAAATTCAATTTCACCAATAAAAATGTGAATTAATGGTGGTGAGATATGCAGTGGGTATAGAGGTGCATGTACTGAGAGCCTGAGGCAGGAGAACTGCAAGTTTGAGCCCACCCTGGGCAACTCAGCAACTTAGTGAGAATTTATTTTTTTTTAAAAAAAAAAAGAATGGATGGTGAGGTATTATTTTAATATTTAAAGTGGACAGGTTTTTAAAAAGCAAATGCCCACTGCTTTTGTATATTCATTGATTTGGCATTATCAAATGCTGATGGAAGTATAAAATACGAAAGCTGTATGGAAAGGAATTTGAACTAGTAGATCAACTTTAGAAATCTGTCCTAAATATCCTGAGATGCAAACATTAGGCATAAGAATTTTCATCCCAGCATAAAAGCAAAAGACTTCAAATAGTCTAAGTTGGCTAAATAAGGGAATAATTAAATGATATGGCCATGGAATTCATAGTGGCTAGACTTTGAAAATTATGTTTTGGGGACTATTTAAAGACATGAGGACATGTCAGATGGAAAGAGCAGAAACAAACTAGTATGGTTTCAATTTTGTGTTATAGAAAAGCAGAGGGAAAAGAGTTTTTAAAAAAAACAAATTCAGAAAGAAAATTAGAGCTGCCATCAGAAATCAGATGTTTGCCGTTCGGATTTCCACTATCATCTTCCTGAAGATCAAAAACATGTTATTTATTAAAGTTTTTGATTTGTGGCTGTAAAGTGTTACAAATATAACTTCTGTCATTGTTCATTCCTTATGAATTTAAGTATTTCCATGTGCAAAGAAAAATGATGTTATTAAATTTTCAAATAACATTTTTGGAAGAAATTACAGATTTCAGGTGCCTGTGTGCATGTGTGCGTGTGTGTGTGTGTGTGTGTGTGTGTGTGTGTGGTATTGGGGTTGAACCTAGGGCCTTGCACATGCTAGGCAAGTACACTGAGCCACAACCCTGCTGTCAGATTTTTGGGTGTGGGGCAGTACTGGGGATTAAGCCCAGGACTTTGTCCTGAGCTATGTGCCTAGTGCTTTCTTCAAGTTTTTCCACAGTTAGAGCTCAGACTTGATAATACTTATGCCGCAGCCTCCCAGAGTGTTGGGACTATGGGTGTACCACCACATCCAGCTTGGATTTGGTTTTTATAGACACAATTTTGGATACTCCATTTTCAGAGTACTAAGTATCTTCTTTTTTTTTTTTTTTTTTTGTCTTTTTGAGGCAGGGTCTGACTATACAGTTCAGGCTGGCCTTGAACTCTGTACCTCAGGCTGGTCTCAAACTCATAGCGATCTTCTTGCCTCAGCCTCTCAAGTGCTGGGATTACAGGCGTGCACCCCGGCTCAAGCATCCTTTTTTGAAAGCTATAGTTTTTTTGATGTTGACTCAGTATCATGTGATTGGTAGAGTTGTTAGTGTTCAAAACCTTAGTCTACTTTTGGTTGATATTTGTTATCATTAGAAACATAACATTAAGTTTTTAAAAAAATAGCATAAAGAATTACTTATGTTTAAGATTAATGCAAACCTTTATATGGGTAATGTTCACTTTGGTTCATTTTGATAGAGTTTTTTTTTCCTACTGATTGGTTAACCATCTGCTCTCTGATCATTAAGAAAAGGACAGCTGTCCTTTGGTAAAGAGAAAGAAATGAAAAGGAACTAAGATCTGCTAATGAGCTCTCCCTGGACAGCATTTTATATTGCCACATTTTTTTTTCTTTAGTACTGGAAATTGAACTCAGAGCCTTTACAGTGAGATCCATCCCC